TCGCGAACATTTTATGGTCATCTCAAAATTTGTCAATCTGTAATTAAATCAAAATAATTATAATTTCATTTATACATTATTGTATTATTATGTACAATTTTAACTCAATATTTTTAATTTTTTTACGATTAGCGGACAAAAATGATTAGCGTCAACTGAGATTGACGTGATTTGTGGCCGTCGGAAATCTGAAAGGTTCTGGGTTTTCCCCAACCCTTTTCCAACATTAAGAGCGTCATGATAGCCTCCCTGCTCGCCAGTGGATAAATATTTGTACACAAACGAATTTTTCTGTATTGGAATCTGGTTCTGTTTTTCCTGAGGTTTTTCGTTTTTAAAGATTGATTTTGTGTTTTTAAGTTATAATTTTTATTTTGTGACTACGTGATAACCTTTCCTTGATGATAGCCTTTCATAATTTATTATTCACATTGTTTCAATAATTTTACAGATTTAAGTCTTATGAATCGAAAAAATTGAAAGGAAACGAATTATTTCCGATCATGATCAATGATGATTGTAAAACATGAAAAACTAGCTGAACTGGATTACAATTAACTCTCCGAATCTTTTCCTTTAGATATATATTTTTTAAATTAATCGTTACCGATCATTTTGGTGTAACTATCCTCATTTGGTTGATCGTTAGATGCGTATTTTGCCATTTTCTCCTTTTCTCCACTGCTATCATTGAGTGTTCACTGTTCGCACTAAATTTCAGGTTCATCCCGCAGAAAACTTGACGAAATCTCACAACCCATTTATAAAAAATCATAATTAAAGTATTCACTTCTATACATGACCTAGTAGGTTAGGCATCCGACTCATGTTTAGTAGTAGTTTTTCGTTGGAATTCTGGCAATAGCCCTTTATTTTAAAATAATATGTGAAACCTATTTTAAATCGGTTCTGACACATCATCCACGAAACCAAAAGGGTAGTTGGACGGTAAGCGCTCCTTTATGACAGGAATTACACCATGATTAGTGACCGTTAATCGATATATATTTAGTATTTGTAAATGTTTTATTTCTTGAATATTAATTGATTGTTATCTAAATTTGTTCTTCAAACTTTATTATAATTTTTATTAGGGCTTATTAACTTTTGCATGCACGTGGTCATTTTACAAGTATCAAGCTGATACTTGACACATGTACTTACATTTTTTGTACGTTCCTACGTTTAGACAGTCTGGTTCTATTGTTTCCAGTTTGTTTCCGACCATGTAATTACTTCACATTACAGATTTTTTCTCATTATTTTTCAATAAAATTTTATCTTCCACTTTACTGTACTTGTCATGTTAATAAACAATCAAAAACACAGCATTTTAGAGCTTTCTCACAGCCCATTTCAAACAACTAGGGTGTATTTGTACCATTCATACTTCTAAAGCGCGTAGAAGTTCCAACTTCATTGACTGATTAATTTTATATATACATATATATANTATATAAATTAACAAATAAAATACCCAATCGGTTAAAATAAATTTCTGCTTACTACTATAGCTTTTAATTAATCCAGAAAGGGCTTTTTATATTATTTGAAGCGTTGACCCTTGGGTTTTCCCCAGCCGTTGTTAGAAAAGGGATGCCAGGTTATTGTATAAGTTGGAACGGATTTCGTTATACAAAATGTTCTTGAAAATGTCTTATACATTAAAATTAAATGCTGTAATTTATATTGATTGGTTAGCGAGTAGGTTTTTATTAAAATATTTATAATCACTAATATTTTGATTTGGCAAAGAAAAAAAATGGTTATATTTTTATGTAAATATTTTTTTTCAATGTTGATTATAACCGTGATTTGGTCGTTGCCGCTTATTTTTCTATCGAAAGCTATTATATATCAAAATGCCGAAAATTCTTCTTTTAGGTAAGAACTCAGGGAGGACAGGCAAGTCAGAATGGTCAATAACGATCAATTCTCAAAATTCACTCTCGATAACTCAAAATTTATTATAACTGTTTGTAGGAAGAAAACTATTTAGAAAAGTGCCATTCATGCCCCGAAAAATATCTCAATTTGTTATAAAATTTACAACTGTTTCGAAGTATGAAAATCTTTTAAAATTTCCTGAGGCGCCCGTTTTTGCTGAAAACTCATTATTAATTTTTTCCCCCCGAGGGATACTTAGCCAAACCTACAATAGAATTAATGAAAAGGGAGGGAGAGGGAGAGAAGGAAGAGAGGGATCTTGGATGAATTTATTTACATACATTGATCAAATTTATCATTCCCATGAAAAATATTTGGGCTTTTAAAATATGAAAAGATCATTTTTACTACAGTCAGAAAAATGTTTTGTTCGAATCGTATAGGTTATAAAATCCCTTTATGCAACAATTTACTGGCCTGGCAACGTATATCATAAGATACTTCAATAAAAACTATTTCGACATAATATATAAACATTAAAGAAACCACCATACGACCTTGCCACGTATATGTCCATACGACATACCATACCAACTTTGCAAGCAAAGTTATGAATTGCTAAACATTTTTTAAATGAATTGATTTATAAATTTTATGTAAAGAGTTTCTGAGATGAAAAATTGGTGCCAGTTACTGCTCTAACCACTTGAGCTATCGTGACATCTACACCCCCGGGTTCGAGACCCGCTCACGACACTAATTTTTCATCTCAGTCACACCTTACATACAAATTATAAATCGATTTAAACAATTACTTTGGTTGAATAAGACCGAATACATATGGATTATTTAAATTTAAAAAACGTTAAATTTGGGGTAAAGACTAAACCAATACGGATATAAATTTGAAGAACATTAAAAAAACAATTGAAAATTAATTTCTAACAGTTTCTTCAGAAATAATATCTTTATCTATGCTTGCAGAATTAAGGTTTAAGCATGTATATCGTAAAATGATTCGCAATCACTGAAAACACTGTAAACCCCTCAATTTTTAGCATATCATATTTTAGAAAATCTGAATAGTTAATATTAAGTTTTACTTTATATATATTACTTAATGTTTGAACAATTAATAGAATTAGAACAGGTGCAGGAATGAATGAAGACAAGACATAGGTAACAACTTTGCGATTAGTTTCGAAGGGTTCTGGGTTTTCCCCGGCCCATTGTCGAATTTGTATTGGGGGGAAGTAGTTTTTAAAAGATTATCAGGTAATACAGTAAAAATAACGGTCCTGTATTAAATATAAACTCCATGTTTTTATTAAAACCTTTTGTCTATATGGAAAAAAATTGGTGCGTTAAACATTAATTCACTACCAGAGTAAGAGATTTTATTGTTGTATAATTTATTGATATTGAATATTAATAATTGTGAACATCTAGATGATGGTGAGAAGCTATTGGATGCGTTATAAGGAGAAAGAAATTGAATTTTGTAATTGAGTTATTTGCCAGGTTGATTATTTTATATGTTATGTTATGAAAAAATATAACAATAATATGATTAAATAAAAAATTACAATTATTTAAAAGGAGAAGTGAATCAATACACAAGACAAGAAGAAACATTTCGAATATTATTTTTGATGCAGTTATGATTGAGTTGAAAAGTAAGTGTCACGTTCAGTCAACAACATCGGGATGTGGGTTTGAATCCTGTTCGTGACACCAATTTTTCCACTTTACCATACTTTACATAAAAAATATTAAATTAATTATAATTATTTTGGATAATAGGACCAACTAAAATGTATATTTTTACCAGTATTTATGCAAAGAAAAATTAGTGTCACGTGATGGACTTGAACCCACAAACTCTTGTGCTCTACCACTTCAGCTATCGTGTCTTCGGTCCAGGAGACATCAATTTCTTCTCTCAACCGACTATTATTCAAATTTTCCCCTTTATTGCCAATATTCAAACATCTTAGCGTTATTTAGTTGCATTACGACTGCAGTGAATTTGCGTTAGGGTAACATCCTTTAATTATAATAATTTTTATTAAATACGTTATATTTAGTGGTCCGATTGACCAAATAACTTCCTTCAATTAATTAATCTTTATGTAAGGTTTTGGTTGAAATGAAAAAGTTAGTGTCACGAGCGAGATTCGAACCCACGACCTTCGGCTAAATACGCCGCTGCTCTAACACTTGAGATATCGTGACTTCGATTCACTCGGACAGCAACTCCCCATCTCAACTTATCTTTCGAATTTTTCCTCCTTTTTGCCATTTTTGAAATGTCGTGTAATCAGGATTCGATTCTCGGCGACAAATGAAATGGCTACGGAGAGCTTTAGCGAAGGTATACTTCGTTTTACTTATTAAATCCGTTATATTTCGTGGTCCGATTGACCAAATAATTTTTTCAATTAATTAATCTTTATGTAAGGTATTGGTTAAAATGAATTTATTTATGAATTATTTTTTTATTAATTATCAGTTTTGATTATTTTCCAGTTTTTTAGCAAAGAAGGTAGCAAGTCACTAGCATAAAGCATTAAGATTCATTGCACAAAAATCGGAAAAAATAATAAAATTTGACAACTAATGAAATAATTATATTTAAAGTAAGTTTCCCTCAAAACCCTCCAATTAATCTGAAAATTAGTAATGCTACCTAGGTGAAATTAATCTATTGTAATTGTTAATATATTTAAACTGAATATCATTTTTTTCTCAACATTATAATAGTCATAAAAGAATTAAAATTTATGAACAAGTCACAGCTTGAAATGATAATCATTATAGTACAACTTATTAATTAACAAAAAATTTTTTTCCATAAACATTAATATAAATAAAAGCATCAAGTTTTTACAAATAAAACAAGATGGAAAATATCAATAAAAACGTTCACCCCGCTCAAGTCTTCAAACAAAAACTCTGGTTTTCCCCAGTCCGTAAGTTAAGTTGCTGGTTGGCTGTTCGAGGATTAGGCCGAGCCACCGGCACAGCTTAGTTGGATAATCCAAGCCCCTCCTTCTAGAGATATACCATTTTGTCAATACCATCACTTCTCATCCAACACTCCTTGCCTGCAGGATCTCACCAGTTGAGCAACGGCGAGGAAGAAGACGAAGACATAGCAAGGTGCCCCGTGTGCGATACTCCATTCACTGACGTCGACCAGTAAGTAAAGTTTTACCTGCTCTTCTTCTTTATATTTATTTAGCTTATTCTTCTTGTTTTTTATATCGATATATAGTATCATCTAAGATTTTTAAAAGTTCTATGAGTTTAGGTAACAAACCATTCATCTTCCCTTGGCAGTTTAGATTTCCTTATGAAACCGGTCTTTTCGGTTCAGTTTTTGATATTAGGCAGCACACGCTCTCCAGTTGGGATTCTTTTTTGTTATTGTTCTAACTCTTGTAATTTTCTTTTTCGATTTGTTTCGGACCATTTAAACCACCTTCTCTGGCTATAGATTTTACCTTTATATTCAAGAAATTTCTCTAGTTAAGCTCTTGCAATTTTTTGTTCTTATTTTAAATTAAATTTTAGGTACATTTTATAAAATCTGTTGTGCAAAATCTTTAGGCAGGTTTTTTAATTGTTATTTTGAACCATAAACTCTAGGTGTTGTTTATTCTAATTTTGTTAGTATACTTTTTTTTCGACAAGATTTCCTCATTTTTCTAAATCGAAATCGGTTGAAAATTAGTTTGTTTCTTGTACACAATTTTCCCGGTTCTGTATTTGCTATTAAATTGGGCAAAAATTTCCAGTTGTTTTTGGAAATTTTGTCCACTTTTTAAATTGAAATCTCTAGGTGCATTTCCAATTTCAAATGCATGGCACAGAACTTTCCATTTATTAATTCATTTGTAGCCGTTTTTAACCAGTTTTAGGTAAATTGTTTACTATTATACTAGTAAATTTCTCTTGTTATGTTTTATTTTGTGGTATTTGCCATTTTTATACTGATACGTACAGATAGATTTGGACAAAATTACTCTAAAAAAGTTATATTACTATTTCATATTACGGTTTTACACCACACTTTCGCATAATTTTCAGTAAACTGTAATGTAAATTTCGTATGTAGATAATTTAGACCCAACAAACTTTAAATCCAATTCAATTAAAAAAGCTGATTTTTGCCTTCTTTCGGTGATGACTTTTCCTGACAAATACCAGACAGTATTTTCATATATATTTTACAAATTTCTTTAAATAAATCGTATTCCGACAAAATCACTAAGAACTTATGAACATTTTCATCTACGCAGATGTATGTATTTTTGTTAATTCGGGGAAATTTTTAAAGATTAGCCTAAGATCATTTATAATTGAAGGTTTTACCTTTAGCATGTTGTTTTCCGAACGTTTCAGTAGTACATTTGGTATGTTAATTTTTTCAAATTTTACACGCGCTTTTTCTTAGATCTGTTTCAATCATAAACACTTAGATTTAAGTACATTTAGGTACCGGTTGTTCCCTTGTTGGCTGGCGTTTGATGTTTCTTGCCGCGCTAATTTTCATTTATATTCCCTTCATCTACCTACTGTTCTATTTTGGATGTAAATCGCCGATGATCCCCACTCTGTTCCTGAGCCTTTCTAAACCTGTCGGGAAACTTGTCGGTTTTGTCCCGTTTTCCTATTTTCCCTGGCAATAAATCGTTCAACCGACGAAATAATCCAAGCAAGGACCCAGGTGGAGCGTTCGGCATAATTGGAAATAATTCTTCACTTCTTAAATCGCTTTTTCCGACTTATTAAGTCGATTCTGCTGTCTCAAGCTTGAGGATTACTTATTAAAGCATTATACTTTCAATTTATTATTTATTGCCTATTTGGACATCAGGTTTTGCTGTCTATTTTGTGGCAAATGATTTATGACCATAATATCAGGAAACATTCAATTAATTTGTAATAATGAGCAATAGGTTAAACTAAAATTTTTGTATTCAGTGTTAGAAATATCGACCACTTTTTCCACACTACACTCTGGATTAAGGTATGGTTTTGAAGAAGAAAGCAAATTCAGTTGTTACTGCCAAAAGTAGTAACACATGAATTTACTTTCTTCTTTAAGATCATACCTTGATCCAGAGTGTTAATGACTAAAATTTTTAATCGGTAATCTTTTTTCTCATATATTTAAAAAGCCATATTGAGCATTATTAAATTATTATTAGAAAAGTATAATTCATTCCATATTTTTCAATTGCTTAGGTTCACTAAATTGGGAATTGAGAAGTTTATCACCGATCACTCTAAACCGAAGTTGTTGGGAAGTTAAGGTGTATTGCCCCTAAATGTGGTATCAATGTTAGGCCCTTGTTGACAAACGCATATAGCCCTTAACTCCTCTCGGTGTCATTATAACATCATCACCGAGTCGCCTTGCGAAAGTGGTGATGTCGGTATCACCCCCTGCGCCCCTAAGTGCCTAGCCTTGTACCGTCTGTCGTTGTCCATTTTTATCGCATTATCAATCATTTGAGACGATCGTCCCCCCGCGGGTAATTGTGACTTCCTTTAACGGCTCTAGTGAGAAGGCGAGATTCGGCCCAGAATTGATATTGGTTTCATGGCGTGGGGCCATTAGTAGCATCTGTCTCGCTCCCAACACTCAAGAACAATTACCCTTTTGTACTTCGGGCTTTTCTGATAGAAACTCGATTGCGGCTCCCCGTTGTCGCTTCACAAAATCCCTTCGAGTGCCTTCTTTACACCCCGAGTTATTGATGTACTTGATTATTAAGGCCTTGGCTTACTTTTTTCGAGATTTTCATTTTTTTTTATCCTAGTCAGATCTTTACCTATCGGTTTTTTAGTAATCAATATTTTTTGTTTTATTTTCAGATTAGACGACCATTTGGTTTCTGGACATAGCTACGTCAGTGGGCAATACAGGTGCGATAAGTGTACTAAATCGTTCTGTTGGAAGCCCTGTTTAGTGATACACCAGGGTACTCGGCACGGCGAAGTTAGGCGCTACTCTTGCGAAAATTGCACTCGGGTTTTTTCTGATCCTAGTAATCTTCAGAGGCACATACGGTAGGTTTTGTATTTATTACAATCCATAAAAAATTATCCTGCCATATGACAGTTCAATTCAGAATTCAGTCAGGATAATAAATACAATTTTAATTTATTGTACTGGTAACACAATCCTAAGTTTGGCCATGATCTACGTTGTTCTTGTTTTGTCTTATTATGCGAAGAGTCATTTAAATCATACTAAGTTCTGTTGGTACACTCGCTAAAAATTTATTTTTGAAATTGATCTAACTTCAGGTGATATGTTGTTTAGTGACCATTAGCCAATGATTATTTGGTGATCGTGAGATGACGTCTGGTGTGACGTAGGTTTTAAAAAACATTTTCTTTATCGTGCTACGTTTTGATCTTTATTGAGATCATCTTCAGGGACTGCAATTTATAAATATTGTTTAAATTTTACAAATACATGTAGGATGTGAGAAAAATGATGTTATACAATGCTAGAAATTTTAAATTCAATCAAAGTATCCGTAATAACTTTTTTCACAATTTCTAACATTGTATAATTTCATGTTTTTCACATGCTACATGTATTTGTAAAATTTAAACAATGCTCATAAATCCCAGACGCTGAAGATAATCTCAATGAGGATCGAAACGTTGGCACGATAAAAAAATTATATTTTTCTAAAACCTGCGTCACTTCAGACGCATCTCACGATCTCCAAATAATCATGTTATCAAAAAATGAAACAATTCGTTTATTTCTTATGTTATTTAAAAAGTTAAGTTATTGTTTGTTAAGTTTAAATTTTATTTTTATTTTTAGTCAATGTCAGTTTATACTTTTCGTTTTTTAGGTCTCATCACGTCGGTGCGAGATCACACGCTTGTCAGGAGTGTGGCAAGACCTTTGCTACAAGTTCGGGCCTGAAACAACACACGCATATTCATTCGAGCATAAAACCTTTTCGGTGTGAAGTCTGCTTGAAGGTGCGCCTCTTATCGATAATATTTCTAATTCAGTTACAGCCACATTAAAAGATCGACGTTTTAATCGGAGCCTGTTTTTTTACAGGCGTATACGCAGTTCAGCAACCTCTGCCGCCACAAGCGTATGCACTCGGACTGCCGCTTGCAGATTAAGTGCGAAAAGTGCAGGCAGACATTCAATACGGGAACGTCGTTGGCGAAGCACAAGAGATTTTGCGATTCGACGTCACCAGTATCGACACCATCGACGATGAACCACATCCCTCAGCCTGGAGCGAACCCGTTCTTGCTTTACCCGAGGACGCATGGAGGCTTGCCGTTCTATCCGCCTACTTTGATTCCGCCTTATCCGTCATTATTCCACCCCTCGGCCCCAGCACCGGGGTTGTTATCGAACCCACTTCTCTTCCCTCCGAAACCCGAAGAAGACATGAACATATTTAACTTCCGGCTGACGGCTGAAGCTTACAACAGTTTTAGACAGAGAGATTCGTCTCACTCACCCTCCCCTTCAAGGACGACCATTTCACCGTCTGAGCCGGTGACGCCGTCCATGAATTCGATCCTCTCCTTGAGCAAGGTTTCACCGCCTACTGCGGAAGAAGCCGTGACCAACGAGAGGCCGAGCCCTGCAAGACCCCCTACATCAGCATCCTATCCAAAACCAGACGAATCTCGAGAAATGTCAGCACCCGACGGAACGGCTTCGCCTCTTTCTTCAAAGGTAGACAATTTGCCAGAACAACCCTTAGATTTGAGGATAGGCGGGAAGAGGGAGGGCAGTCCGTCTCCATTTCGCAACACGCCATCGCCCAAACCAAAAAGATTACGGCCCGAATCTCCCGAGGGGGAGAAACCGGCGATGGCCTATCCTAGACCGATCCACCCGGTCTTCCTGGAAGCGCTCTACCGGCCGCAGTTTCCTGAAAGATTCCCGGCGTTCCCGGCCAGGCCGTTCCCTTTTATGAACACGGTGAACCGTTACGACATCAGAGCGCCATTCCCTGGAAATAAGCCGTACCAAGATGTTTTGTCCAGTACACCGCCTACCGGAAGAAACAAAGACAGATACGCTTGCAAGTTTTGTGGAAAAGTTTTTCCCAGATCGGCAAATTTGACCAGGCATCTCAGAACCCATACCGGCGAGCAGCCGTACAAGTGTAAATACTGCGAGAGGTCGTTCAGCATTTCTTCCAATCTCCAACGGCACGTGAGGAACATCCACAACAAGGAGAAGCCGTTCAAGTGCTCCATGTGCGACCGGTGTTTCGGCCAGCAGACCAATTTGGACCGTCATCTGAAAAAACACGAAGGCGAGGACGGGACGGTCGCTGTCGCCGATTCACCGAGCAGCGCGGAGAACGAGAGAGAGGAAACCTATTTCGACGAGATCAGATCTTTTATGGGGAAGGTGACCTACAACGGTCCATATCCTCAACCTTCAGTAAAGGAAGAGACAGAGACTAGTTCGGAAGAAGGCTCTCCAAGCCTTTCGCCCTATCAAGAATCTCCAATCCCGATGGTCATTTCTCCATATTTGAAAGACGAACAACCGCTCAATAACAACACGGAATCCGTACCCGTGCAAGTCACATCTTAGTCATTTTGTGATACCGCGGCCCTGGCAAAACATACCAAAGTAATAATTTATTTTATATCTTATTTATACATGTAAATAAATTTTGCCATGTCTATCACATCACCTATGTATAAATATATATTATATTAATTACCATCTTTTTTCGCATTAATCGCATTACTATTTAAAGTAAATTATATGTCTAGTGCTACATTATTTATATAAATTATTACGAATCATATAAAAATTTAATAAATAAAATTCTATTATATATTGTAAATTATGGCGGATCGTTCAATTTATGTACATTAATTGTTAATATGTTTACATTGTGGTTCGATAAATAAAGTATTTGATTATCATTCAAAAACATTTTTTAAATAAATATTTTATTTCATTTGCCCACCTATTTTGTGTTTCACTTGTAAAGCGTGACCGCATCACACTTACACATTTTTTATCGATTCGATATGTAATTGCTCTACCGAAATCCTACATAATGTAACTCTTTAATGAAATATTTTTATTAACACAATCAACACTTTTAAGACTTAACCGTCAGGTATTTCCAACTGCAACTACTATTATTAAGATTTTCTAATTGTACATTATTATTAAAAACAAAATAAATTAACAATACATTTAAAACTTTGTTAAAATTAAAATCAAAGTTGATATGGAATATGTTTTTATCTGGGATACAAGAAAAGATTGTATTATTGTAAGAAAAGATTCATGATTACTGATAGTCTTGTGTTCTAAACTTTGACAACGCAAACTAACAGAAAGAGATATATAACATTTCGTTCAATAATTCCCAAATAATTGGTAAAATCTTCATTTATAAAGTAGTGTAGACGTGATAATGTTGGGTCTTAGTTGGTCTCCAAACAGATTTGAAGCCATCTATAAAAAACTTAATTATGTCAATATGTTGACATATTTTAGTTAAACTAGGTAAAACTTGGCAGTAACAATTGTATTTGTTTCTTCATCCAAGGTTCAAATTATTTGTGTGGTGATTAGGGACCGTTTGTCAACGATAATTCAGAAATTGTGAGATGCGGTCTGGTGTGATGTAGGTTTCAGAAAAACATTTTCTTTATTGTGCCAACGTTTCGAACTTTATTGAGATCATCTTCAGGACTGTAGAAATACTTTGATTGAATATATAAAAAAAATTTATTTGCATTGTACAAATTCACTTTTTTGTACATCCTACATGTTTTTATTAAATTTAAACAATGTTTGTAAATTCCAGGCCCTGAAGATGATCTCAATAAAAATCGAATCGTTGGCAGGAAAAGAAAATATTTTTCTGAAACCTACATCACACCAGACCGCATCTCACGATTTCTGAATAATAATAGTTCAGATTAATCGTGAAAGTGAAAATAAAAGTCAGGTTCGAATTATTTACGGAAAATTCTTTAGCTGAAGGTAGGCTATGGTCGCGGGATCACCGATTATAATGAAACTTGGTGATACTAAGTCGAAAAATATCAGAGTCGTGTCCGAGCATTTGCCAATAGGCCGATAAAAAATAATAAAAGTTTTTAAAATATGGGTTGCTATCTTTTTTGTGCATATATCAATCGAAGTATGACAAGAAAATAGTATAAATGATTGTATTAAATGAAATTAGATAGGTTCAAAAAGCAAAAGACTAATCAGTAAATTATTCCAAAAATCATTTTTTGTTTTTGTTAAAAAAAGCAATTCGGATGGTACCTAAACACGATTTAAAACGCTCAAATACGATTTTTACAATAGAAAAATAAACGATGTCCGGTCTTTTACAAAAAAATTCATATCTTCTCTGGATGTCATCATATTATTTCTGTCAACAAGCTTTTGATTTTATGCTATTACAACTGATAAAAATAAGGATAAAGTCAACAAAAACTTTCCAAACATTTCATTTGTTTTTGAGTTTTTGAAAAAAAAGCCCATTTGTATGTCGAGTTTAAATTCAGGGCCGCTGGATTCGAACCGCGACCCCATACCACACAGTGATAAGTCTGCCAAAGTTATACAATTACGTTACGTTTAAAATATTTCATTCAGGACGAAACAAACTTTCTGTATTTAATTATTTTTTTGGACATCTCAAAAAGTTGTATTCAGGAGTATTTTGGGATGTGAAAAATTCGCTGAAAAAAAGTTTAACTTATCTTGCAAAGTCAGAAAAAGAATCATTCTGCGTGCGAGAAAATTTGAATTTATATAATTATTTTCTGTGTACTTTGCGACATGGCAAATTAAGTTCAAATATTTTGTTAACAAGTATTAAGGTAGTCGTTTTTTGCACTCCAAAATAACCCTAAATACAAATTAGTTGATAAAAAATGAAATAAAATATATTCTATCAAATTTAACGCCTTACAATACCGTCGATTTTTTTTCTCGAAAATCACAACAGTGATAACAATTTTCAAGACTTACAGATCCACGGAAAACTTCATAGGGTACAAAAACATCGAAACTACGTGCATAAAATAAAACATTTAGGGAATTTTTGTTGATTTCATTCTTAATTTTTTCAGTTATAATAACACACAAAGCCAAAGTTGTTGGAATAGGGTCTAAGAAGAAAAATTCCTATGGTTTTAATACCGTCGATGTTGGATAAAAACCAAAGGATTTAGTAATTTATCAGTTAAACAATGAACATCGGATAAAGACAAAAATTGATCTTGCCCAAACCATTCTTTTTTGCTATAAAAACCTTCATTGAAAGAGGAACGAATCGAAATAGTTGTTGGTCAGAAACATTTTTTGGCCTACTTTATCGTATTTATACCATCGTGCATATTATGCATATGCATATACTGTGTAAAAAAAGAAATCGACTGATTATAAAATGCACAACAAATGCAAACAACTGTATTTAAAAAGCGTTGAAAAAATATTTTTCTGGACTAGCACGCAACATTGCCCCAGGCTAATAAATGCACTCAGATCCAAAAATCGTACTTGTATTTTATTGCTTATTTCAAACTATATGTATTTTTCGTTATATTAAATATAAGGAAATATATATTAAATACAATGTAATATATATTAAATACAACTAATTATTCAGAAATCGTGAGGTGCGGTCTGGTGTGATGTAGATATCAGAAAAACATTTTCTTTATCGTGCCAACGTTTCGATCTTTATTGAGATCATCTTCAGGGCTCTTCGATCTTTATTGAGATCATCTTCAGGGCTCAATAAAGATCGAAACGTTGGCACGATAAAGAAAATGTTTTTCTGAAACCTACATCTCACCAGAACGCATCTCACGATTTCCGAATAATTATCGATTAACGGTAACTAATCACCACACATTAAATACAACGTACTTATTTTAATGAAACCAAATTAAACAAGATTAGAAATGCATGATTTTCAACAATAATTATGATGGTTTGAAATAAAATTCACCAAAACACAGGAAAATCGGAATTAAACTTAAAAACTTATAAATTTCTGATCTTGTTCAATTCGGTTCAACTTAAAATAAGTATGGTCTATGATATGTAACGATAAAATTACATATAGGTTTACAATAAACAACAAAATACGAGTACTCCGTTTTAAGTATATTTGTTCAGTAGTTGCCAAAAAAAAAGAAAAAAAAAAAAAAAAAATGAAATTGGGAAACCACGCACGTAAGAAACCTTTGTTATTTATTATTACTTCCATTATTTTGATCAGCATACGTCAATTTGTAGACACAATAGTGTGAGTATGTAAGAATGTAAGGAATTAATTAATTATTCAGAAATCGTGAGATGCGGTTTGGTGTGATGTAGGTTTCAGAAAAACATTTCCCGTATCGTGCCAACGTTTCGATCTTTATTGAGATCATCTTGCCCTCTCAACACGACACGCAAGAATGGCACAATTACACAGAAGACAAACACTGTGAGCCCTGAAGAAGATCTCAATAAAGATCGAAACGTTGGCACGATAAGGACAATGTTTTTCTGAAACCTACATCACACCAGACCGCATCTCACGATTTCTGAATAATTATCGATTAACGGTCACTAATCACCACACAAATGTAAGAAATGATTGACTAATCTATCTTTAATTTTTATTTTCAAATTAATAGTGTAAAGTAGGGGCATGTTTAAAAATGGAAACATTTTTAGAATTCTTTTGTCTTTTTTTCTTACCTCAATTTAAAATAAAGAAAAGCCTTGGCCGGTAAAATACCTAAACGCAATTAATATCAAAAGATAACGAGGTATAGCGGACCTCGATTTCAACCAAGTAAAGTTCGACCTTGATAAATTTATGTACATGCACTTCGTATGTGATTTTAACACTGCAACGTTTAAATATAAGAAATTATCAGAATGAGAGTTATCTCATGTTTTACGTTTCAACTTTTCAAAATTAGTGTCCCACCTTCTGTGATACAACTGGGAGTAAAACAAGGCAAAAACTGTAAGTTTGTTCAAAATTTTCCAGTCTTGTTAAATTTATCGTATAGTATAGACGATATCCATTACCTGGACATTAATGTTAATAATCAATTATTGATATTAATATTAACAATGAAGCATTTTTCACGGTCACTTTTCCATAAGTTTAATATCGCTTAAATATATTTGTAAAACAATTTTTTGCAGTTTTTTAAATTGAACAATATCTGAAGGAAATGTGTGCCAGATTTTTGACAACGTTTCGACCTTTACTCGGGTTAAAACATAATTATAGGTTACAGATGTAAATAATTTACATTTTGAAACAAATATATATATCACATAAAATATGATGCTATTCTTTTTGTTTGGTGTCATGTTTCTTTCGTGTGAAAAAGTTGTGTCTCTGTTAATGTAATATTATATTGTAATTATATAATAATATTATACTAATTATATTTCTCTTTCTTTTCTTACCGTGCAGAATAATTAACTTACTTTCCAATATTAGTTAGTACCTGTGCCCTTTGAAGAAACTCCGAATCGCGAATCTAATCCAGAAAATCCCCATTCTCGATTTTCTCCCCTTTGAGTTAAATAAAACCGCCTATGATCAAAGAAAATTTCCCAGTTTTACCGCGTCCCCCACCCTGTTACAATAATATAAACACAGCAGAACATAAATTCAAATGATGTTTCGCAAAATTTCACATGAAACAAACAGGACACCACACTTTATATGAGTTTGAAATAATTGGTTCAAAGTTTATATTATTATGGCAAAAAAATGGCAAAAAGGAGGG